GGGCTCGACGGTGGGATCAACGCGGGGGCGAGGGGAGGGCGGAGGTGGCGTGCGGCGTGGTGGGAGACAGGGGAGAGGCAGAGAGGGAGGGACGGTGAGCGTGCATGGACGGCCAGGTGCGGCGTGGATCTGGGCAGCGTGAGGCGTGGGAAAGGACTACGATGGGGAAAAGGGAGCGGTAGCGATGGGCTTTGTGGGTGGACGAGGATGAGAGGGATATGCGGTGATTCGGGAGGAGTGAGTGGGGGAGGCCATGGACGGCGGGGCGCTCTGCCGGAGGGAGGTGGCGGTCGCGATTTGGAAGGGACGAGGTGGCAACTGCGATCTGGAAGGGAGGAGGAGTGGTGTGCAGGGAGAGAGGGGCACGAGGACTCAGGAGAGCTAGGGTTTCAGCTTAGATGGGCTTCGGGTGAGGACATCCGTTGGATCCGGGAGCATCCGATGGTGATCCATCCACAATCCGCGTGAAATGCCCACAAACCAATCATAATGCAGCACACGCGTACGATGTCATGACCATCTAAATTGGTCTTAGATAACTAAAAAAATTGGTCATGGTTGATTAAAAATTCATTTTCCATTTTTCGAGTGCCCAAAATGAGTTTTTTTTGTAAATGATCTACCATATATTTATTTCAAAATTGTACCAAATCAATTTTTTAAAATACTAAGACATATTTAATGCACAATTGACCAAATAGTTGGGCGTAAAAAGTTTTTATACACCTTTGGTGAAAAAGACAAATTTCGGCCGATTCATCTCGAAGCGGGTCAAATTTGAACTGCAGCTGCCTCATAGTTAGCTCTTTATTTTTTCCAAAAATCATTTCTAGGTACATAAGTATTTATTTAATCATAGAAACACAAAAAGTTTTCCAAGATTCAACCACTAGGTAGGAACGGTCATGCCCGTCGTTTTGACCACATTTTGAAACGGGCATAAAAAATTCAAAAAAATCAAAAAATAAGAAAACCTTCGCATTGTGTCATTGTATGTGACCAAGTTACCGGCAAAAATTAAAACCTGTAATACGGCATTTATTTTTAAAAAGTGTTCTGAAAAACGAGCTATCAAGTGTGAAGATGCATGGCTTCAACCCAAATGCTCAATCCTATGGCCACATTCATGGCATAGTTTTTCAAATGATCTCATATTGTGCACAAGGGTGCATATTGGAATGACAAACAATGCTGCCTAAGGAAGTTTTCATTTTCTTTGGATGAAAAATTCATTTTCTATTTTTGTGAGTGCCCAAAATGAGTTTTTTTGTGAAGGATCTACCCTATATTTTTTTCAAAATTGTAAATAAATCATTTTTCTAACATACTAGGACATATTTAATGCACAATTGACCAAATGGTTGGGTGTAAAACGTTTTTATACACCTCTGGTGAAAAAGACAAATTTCGGCCGATTCAGTTGGAAGCGGGTCAAATTTGAACTACCGCTACCTCATAGTTTGCTCTTTATATTTTCAAAAAATAATTTCTAGGTACATAAGTATCTATTTAATCATAGAAACACAAAAAGGTTTTCAAGATTCAACCACTAGCTAGGAACGGTCATGCCCGCCGTTTTGACCGCATTTTGAAATGGGCGTAAAAAATTCAAAAAAATCAAAAAAAAATAGAAAACCTTCACATTGTGTCATTATATCTGACCAAGTTACCAGCATAAATTATAAACTTGTAATATGGCAATTATTTTTAAAAAGTGTTCTCAATAACGAGCTATCAAGTGTGAAGATGCATGGCTTTCAACCCAAATGCTCAATCTTATGGCCACATTCATAGCATAGTTTGTTCAAATGATCTCATATTTTGCACAAGGGTGCATATTGGAATGGCAAACAATGTTGCCTAAGGAAGTTTTCATTTTCTTTGGACGAAAAATTCATTTTCCATTTTTTCGAGTGCCCAAAATGAGTTTTTTTTGTGAAGGACCTACCATATATTTGTTGCAAAATTGTACCAAATCAATTCTCTAAAATACTAGGACATATTTAATGCACAATTGACCAAATGGTTGGGTGTAAAAAGTTTTGATCCACCTCTCATGAAAAAGACAAATTTCTGCCGATTCAGTTGGAAGCGGGTCAAATTTGAACTGTAGCTACCTCGTAGTTTGCTCTTTATTTTTTCTAAAAATCATTTCTAGGTACATAAGTATCTATTTAATCTGAGAAACACCAAAAAAATTCCAAGATTCAACCACTAGCTAGGAACGGTCATTCCCGCCGTTTTGACCGCATTTTGAAAAGGGCATAAAAAATTCAAAAAAAAACAAAAAAGTGGAAAACCTTCGCATTGCGTCATTATATGTGACCAAGTTACCAGGAAAAATTATAAACTTGTAATAAGGCAATTATTTTAAAAAAATGTTCTCAGAAACGAGCTATCAAGTGTGAATATTCATGGCTTTCAAGCCAAATGATCAATCTTATGACTACATTCATGACATAGTTTGTTCAAATGATCTCATATTGTGAAAAAGGGTGCATATTGCAATGACAAACAATGTTGCCTAAGGAAGTTTTCATTTTCTTTGGACGAAAAAATCATTTTCTATTTTTCGAGTGCCCAAAATGAGTTTTTTTGTGAAGGACCTACCAAATATTTGTTGCAAAATTCTACGAAATAAATTTTTTAAAATACTAGGACATATTTAATGCATAATTAACCAAATGGTTGGGTTTCAAAAGCTTTTATCCACCTCTCGTGAAAAAGACAAATTTCTACCGATTCAGGCGGAAGCGGGTCAAATTTGAACTACGACTGCCTCATAGTTTGCTCTTAATTTTTTTTTAAAAAATCATTTATAGGTGCACAAGTATCTATTTAATCATAGAAACAAAAAAATTCCAAGATTCAACCACTAGCTAGGAACGGTCAAGCCCGCCGTTTTGACCGCATTTTGAAACGGGCATAAAAAATTCTAAAAAAATCAAAAAATTGGAAAACCTTCGCATTGTGTCATTATATGTGACCAAGTTTCCAGGAAAAATAATAAACTTGTAATACGGTAATTATGTTAAAAAAGTGTTCTCAGAAATGAGCTATCATGTGTGAAGATTCATGGCTTTCAAGCCAAATGATCAATCTTATGGCCACATTCATGGCATAGTTTGTTCAAACAATCTCATATTGTGCACAAGGGTGCATCTTGGAATTCCAACAATGTTGCATAAGGGAGTTTTCATTTTCTTTTCACGGAAAATACGTTTTCCATTTTTTGAGTGCCTGAAATGAGTTTTTTTTTGTCAAGGACCTACCATATATTTGTTGCAAAATTGGACCTAATCAATTTTATAAAATACTAGGACATATTTAATGCACAATTGACAAAATGGTTGGGTGTCAAAAGTTTTGATCCACCTCTAGTGAAAAAGAAAAAATTCCCGCCGTTTCAGTTGGAAGCAGGTCAAATTTGAACTGCAGGTGCCTCATAGTTTGCTCTTTATTTTTTCCAAAAATCATTTCTAGGTAAATAAGTATCTATTTAATCATAAATACATGGTTTGATGGCGAGACATCGAGGTTTGGACGGTGGCCGAGGGCCCCAACTCTAGAGCGCATAAGCTCGCATGCCCGCCGCGTGGTCACCGCGTGACTGTGGCGTTGCCATGCGTTCTGGGTGGCCTAGGCATGTCTAGTGGGTTGGGCACTCCCCAGGTAGGTGCTAGGAAGAAAACTATAACATAAGATTCTCATGAGGAGACCGAACTATGCTCAAACATGAATTAGCAGCCAAGTGTTTGATTAGCGATACAGGAAATGCACATGGCCAATCGGCGTGAGTTTTGGCTGAGGATGATCATACACTAAGAAGAATTTCTTCACAAATTTTTAGGGAAATCAAGAATATATAAATAACACTTCCTTCACAAAGTGCTTCTCTGAACAGAACAGGAAAATGAATATTGTTGAGTTATTTTTGAACTACACAAGGAAGGTTTTTGGCACATTTGATGAAGATATGATCCAAACAATCTATGAGAATTTCTTTGGAATTTTTGGAATAACAGAAATATAGGTTGCTTCACAACCTAGGGCAAAAATTAACACATGGACATGACACATAGGCAAAACTGATAAGATGGCGCCTAGTCGTCACAACCCACCACAATCTACAAAGCTATGACCATCTATATTGGTCGTTAACAACTAGAAATAAGGCAGCGGACCAACACTATTTGCTTTATGACCGTTTCGTGT